AAGGTTATAAGTCCCTGAATTGGGGTTATAAGTATAGTTACCGTACTTATAACCCTACTTACTAAGTCCCATGATCCTTTAAGTACCCTAAACCCTAAACCCTAAACCCTAAACCCTAAGTCCCATGATCCTTTAAGTAAGCAGGCGCTCCATCCTCCGCAGCGCGGAGACCCCGCGGAGGCGGCGGTGATCGGACCTTCGTCAGCCGCGCCGAGGCGAGCGTCGGGCTCCTTTCAAGGGACGTACTTGGAGGATCAGGGTTTAGGGTTTAGGGTTTAGGGTTTAGGGTTTAGGGTTTAGGGTTTAGAGTAGTACTTGGAGGATCATGGGACTTAGTAAGTAATGTTATAAGTCCCTTAATTGGGGTTAAAGGTATGGTTATCCTAGTTAAAACCCTACTTACTAAGTCCCATGATCCTTTAAGTATCAAGGGTTCTATAAGGGAACTATAAGAATTTAGCGTTTCTGGGTTTAGGGTTCAGGGTTTAGGGTTTAGGGGTTAGGGGGTTTAGGAGTTTAGGTGTAGGGGTTTAGGGGTTTAGGGGTTTAGGGGTTAGGGTTTGGAGGAATGTTGTTCAGGGCAAGGGTTTAGGCCTCAACTCCTTGTACACTCTCAGACCCCCAAACATCAAACCACAGCGAGAAGCGGTCTTGAGGTCCCTATGCTGGAAGATTGGTGAAGACGGCCGCGCTGGCGACGGCTACCGCATCCGGTTTCTTGAGCCGCGCTTGAGCGTTTCGGCTTTTTGAGGGCTGTTGAGGGTTTAGGGTTCGGCAATTTGGGGCAGTTGTATTCAATCCCTAAGCCCCCTAAAACTTTAAACCAAACCGTAAACCCTATGCTCAGCAGCAGAGCGGTTTTTATGAGGGTTACTATAAAAGGCTTAGTATAATTGTTCCTTAGTCCCTGAAGCCTCGACCAAAAGCAGTGTCGAGCTTTCTGGATCCTCTGAGCTTTTTTAGTGAGGCAGCCTTGGCCTAAGGGTTCAGGGCTTGCAAGCCTGAGCCCAAGCCTTAGGACCATCATGACCCAGATCTTCCAAAATCCCTTGATGAAGGAATATAGGGCTCCTACTCGAGTTTAAGGTACATTCCTTAATTTAAGGGATGTTGGAAGATCTGGGAAATCCCTAAACCCTAAACCCGAAACCCTCATCCCTAAACCCTAAAACCTCAATCCCATAAGCAGCCCAATCAAGCCGGTGCGAGCCATCCCAACCCGGAGCCAAGTGGGACAGGGTTAAGGGTCTAGGATCTGGGTTTAGGGCTTAGGGTCTAGGGTTTAGGGTTCTAGGGTCTACTTGAAGGATCATGGGACTTAATAAGTCAGGCTAGAAGTACTTCAACTAGGGCTATACGTGGTTACTATGCTAGTTTCCTCGTTCCTAAACCCTAAACCCTAAACCCTAAACCCTAAACCCTAAACCCCAACCCCTAAACCCTAAACCCCTAAACCCCCCTGGTTCCAGGTCCCACGACCCTTAACGTCGAACCACGCACCCAAACCCGAAACTGAAGCCCTCAACCCTCGGCCTCTCAAACGTACGGGAGTTTGCCATAAACCCTTCTAGACCCTTTCCCATAAACCCTTACAAACCCTATTCCATAAACCCTAAACCCTCAAAACCCTAAGCCCTGAACCCCTACACCCTAAACCCTAAACCCTATGAAGCCTAAACCCTTTCTCCTGAGGCTGCAGGTGAACGGCAGCCTCAGGCGCCTCTCTTGGACGACGATGCCCAAGGAGCGGAGCTCACTTCGGGGATTTAAAGGGTTCCTTAAAGGTGTAGTATAAGGGCTTCCGTAAAGGTGTCTATAAGGGCTTCCTTAAAGGTGTCTGTAGGGGTTCCTTAAAGCTGTCTATAAGGGCTTCCTTAAAGGTGTCTATAGGGGTTCCTTAAAGGTGTCTATAAGGGCTTCCGTAAAGGGGTCTACAAAGGCTTCCTTAAAGGTGTCTGTAAGGGAGGCTCATGGGACTTCGTCCGTACTGCAAGGTCATAAGTACCTTAGCTTTGTCAGTAACTTGTACGTATAGGGTTTAGGGTTTAGGGTTTAGGGTTTATAGTTACCTCATATTTACCGCCCTAGTTACTAAGTCCCATGATCCTTGGAGCAGAGCTCATGACATTGAACGCCACATGCGAACCTCTGGATGTGCCTCGCTCTTCTGCGATCAGGGGGAAGCTTGACGTGATCCTGGGTTGCTCTAAGGAATTGTTTTAAGAGTTACCATGAGAGAGATATACACTGTAGTAGTTACTCGGTTTTCCGTGCTATGGTATGTTAAAGCAACATTCCCCAGCAGCGACCCAGTCTCTGGTTAGGAGTTTCTTCGACGGTATGGTCTTGCAGGCTTTACACCTCATGGTGCGTTCTGATTCTGCTGTTGCAGCAATTTTGCTCGCATTCCTGTGCATTTATCCCATCCCAGCCTCCCAGCCATGGTGCGCATCCTTAGCGCACTTGCTACCGGCATCGGCTTGTTGACAGACAAGTACATGCTCGGTGCGACGAACTTCGTTGAGCATTATGCACTTGAGTTTCATGCGACGGACTCTCAGAAGGACTTCGTGAAAGCTGCCATGTACGCAGGATGCATGTTGGGTATGATTGTCATGGGGCCGGCCTCGGACTACATTGGACGCCGCTTGGGTCTCATACTCTGCTCCGGTATCACGTTGCTGGGTGCTCTGCTTTCTGCCCTGGCCTGGAGCGAGAACGCACTTATCGCGGCTCGCATCATCACCGGAGTCGGCATGGGTGGCGAATATCCGCTTGCTTCCGCGCACTCCGCAGAGTCTTCCGAAAAGACGAGCGATGGTGCTCGAAACATTGCCCTGCTGTACCTCTTCGGAAGCGGCTTTGGCCAGGCATTGTGCCCACTGGTAACTTACATCATGGAGGTCTCCGGCGTTCCTCATGAGTTGATTTGGCGATGGATTTTTGGAGTCGGTGTCATTCTTTCAGCTTGTGGCCTGGTCTTGCGATACCTAACCACACAGAACAGCCAAAAGTTCGTGGAAAGCAAGAAGGCAGAACAAGAGCATCACGACAGCACGTGGACCATTCTGTCACCTTACTGGCGCGCACTTCTTGGCACCGCCGGGTGCTGGTTCCTCTTTGATATCGTCGAGTACGGCTTGAAGCAGAACGATGCAGCAATCTTCAGTGAGAATGTCTCTGAGAGCTATGCCGAGAGCATTCTTCAGGTTCTGTGGAGCCGGCTCCTCGTGATCCCATCGCTGATTTTCGCACCCTGGTTTTTGACCAAGGTCTCCAGCAAAAGGGTTCAGCTCATTGGCTTCATGGGATGTGGGGTGGCCAACCTGATCTTGGCAGTCGCCTACGAAGAGTTGCGGGAGTTCTCCACCCTCTTCTTAGTGTTCTACATCCTGCAGCTCTCTTTCCAGAGCCTTCCTGGGGTCACCACCATGGCCATCTCCGCAGAGATTTATCCGAGCATGGTCCGCGGGGCAGCCGCCGGCATCAGTGCAGCCTGCGGAAAGCTCGGCGCCACAGTTGGTTCCTACTTCTTCTCCGAGCTGAAAAACCTCGGCGAAATCAGAGGAATCTTTTGGACCGTCTTCGCCACCTCAGCTTTGGCTATGTTGCTTACAGCCCTCAGCACTCCCTACTACAACGGGAACACGCTGGACGAGGCCGACGAGCTGGCTCGCAGTGGAAAGCCGAGGCAGGCCGTTAAGATGCTCTACGGCGGTCCGATCGCGAACCAGGATCGGACGAAGGGTGCCGAATATGTGTCCCTGGGTTCTGGAGTACCATACTTGAATACTTTTTTTTGGGACCTGTTCCTTAAAGGAACCATTATAAAATAAAAGTCTATACATTTTTCTCCCTGGTTACTTCAAAGCCCAGGTCCGATGACTTGTCGGACGAGACTGACGAGCAGAGCGCGTGAAACTGAGTGCAGGGAACCGCAGGATTTTTAATTGGCAGGGGGTGCTCCGGCTCTGCATAGCGACACGCTCTGCCTAGTACGGGATCCTTATACACCTACTTTATACCCTATATGTATCCTTCAGGGTCCCTAGGGGCCCATACTTCTAGCCTTAGACTTGTTCTACTTCCCAAGACTTCGGTGCCGATCAGTTCTGTGCCACTGCCGGGTTGTCTCTGGGCCTTGCAAACGAGCAAGTGCTACAATAATCAGATGCTTGCAACTGCAAATTTCCCTAAACCCTAGACCCTAAACCCTAAACCCTAAACCCTAATTCGAGATTATTTTGAGATGGTGGTCAGGCGCGAGAAGGTGTTAAACCACTTCTCAAGCAGGGCCGGAACCTGACATGGCCACAACGGCCAGGGTGTGCAGATAGCAGATAGCACAGGATCATCCGCTGCATGCACTCAAAATGATTGGGTTTAGGGTTTAGGGTTTCGGGGTTTAGGGTTTAGGGTTTAGGGGTTTAGGGTTTAGGGGTTTAGGGTTTAGGGTTTAGGATTGTGTAGCTGAGAATGTCAGCCAGCATTCACTTCACTAGCTCTGCCGGGCCATGCTGACGCTCATCAATGTCCTCGCCATTTGGACAGTTCTCTCAACTAGGGTCCCTTTTAGGGGTCCTTTTATAAGGGTGCCGTACTATATTGGGGATCTAAAAAGGGGCCCTAATTTAAAGAAGTACCCATTTGTTTAACCGTAAGAGTGGGAGTCGATGACCCATAGAACCTATGTGCTGAACCTGTATGAAAACTTAATGGACACCCTTGAAGCCCTTGTAGGACCTGCGTTAACAGCCCCAGATGCTGATTTAAGCTCTAAGCCAAATATAAACAAACGACTTGTTCGAAGATTAATGTTACAGCAATACTACATTCATCAACATTAAGAAACCGCCCTAAACCCATATTTCTAAAGACACTCTTCAACACACCGGAAAGAACCCCTAAACCGTTTTGTAAAATAAGCGCTAAACCCTAAACCCTATTAAAAAAGGCTTAAGCCCCTAAACCCTAAACCCTAAACCCCATTAAAAAGGCTTGAAACCCTAACCCCTCAACCCCATTAAAAAGGCTTGAAACCCTAAACCCTAAACCCTAAATCCTGCTAAAAAGCGCCAAAGCCCCAAGCCCTAGAGCCAAAAGCCGCGCGAAGGCTGCTCGGACCTCGCTTTCTTGGACTCTCCGCCCGCACAGCTTCAGCTACTCGGAGCAGTTGTATTTATGTTTCATTTTTTGGGATGGGGCGGGGGGTGGGCGTTCGGTAGATAGATAGAGAGATGGAGGGATCGAGGGATAGAGAGATAGAGAGCTAGAGCATTGATGGATAGATAGAGCTGTTACGCGACTTCTAAGGCCTTTATGCAAGTCTTTGAATGAGGTTGTTATAGGTTTATCTTGTTTCAACTGCTCTGTTGCGAGGGCGTTGTAGGGGTTTCCGGGGGTCGGGACATGGGATCTAGGGTTTTTGATGCTCAGATTCGGGGTTTGGCGTTTCAGCTCCAGGATTTTGGCGTTCAGGGTCCGAACTTTTAGGTTCCATGTTTGTAGCTTTAGGGTTCGGGGTTTAGGGTTTCATGACTTGTCCTCTGTAACAAGAAGTACCCCATGTGTGATGTTTTCGTACAGAGCAACACACCCTTGCGCATCCAACTTGCAATGCCTTCTGCAGTTATACTGCCGTAGCACTACACGCAGTAGCAGTTCAGGCAGAAGTAGTATCAGTGCGGTTCTGATGTGAAAGAGTGAGACGTCAGCCTGTCGACAAATGGTTGATACCACTCCGTACCTCCGATAAGCAGGTTGAAGGAAACACACAACCTAAACCCCAAACCCTAAATCCTAAACCCGAAACCCTAAACCCTAAACCCCAAACCCTAAACCCTAAAAGGGTGGCCATTCAGCTCCTCCAGCCCCGCAGCCCTGAAGCGCGTTAAGCTTCACAGCCCTAAAGCCCGAAAAGCCCTTAAACAAATCCTGCTTTAAAATCACCTCAAACCGCGAACCAAAACCCGCAACCCGAAACTTCAAGCCCTAAGCACTGAACCCCTAAGCTTCGCTCCTCAACCAAGAACCCTAAACCCTCAAATCCAAAATCCTGAACCCTTATCCCCGCATCTGAACTACAGTTAGTACAGGACAAAATAATGCTATCAAAGAAGCGGAGAAGAATACCCTATATCCCTGCACCCCTATCCGTTAAATCTCCAGTTATCAGTGAAGTTATAAGTCCCCGAACTATAGTCACTTTACTTCTAACTTATTTACAGTTTTTAACTACCCATGCACCTCCAAGTAACACTTCTATAGATCCCTTATGGAACCCTTGATAGACCTCTCTAAAGGAAGCCCGTTGGACCCTTCAAAAGCCCTGCAAGTAACCTTAACCTGGAGGCCCCAAACCCATAAAGCCCTAAACCCTAAACCCTCAACCCCTAAACCCTAAACCCTAAACCCTAAACCCCCAAACCCCTGAACCTTAGGCCCTACAGCCATGAAGCGTAGGGCTCCTGAACCTAAAGGCTCAACCCATAAAGCACTGAGCCCTAAGCCCCTAAACCCCAAACCGTGCCTCAGCCCTTCTAGATCCCTTTAAAGGAACCCTTATAGATCCCTGTACGCGAAGCCCTAGGACCCTCCCTAAACCCTAAAGCCTCAACCCTAAACCTTAAACCCCCTAAAGCCCTAAAGCCTAACCCCTAAACCCCTAAACCCTAAACCCTTTAAAAGAACCCCAAACCCCTAAACCCTAAACCCTTTAAAGGAACCCAAACCCCTTCCTTATCAGCCCCAGGCCTTCTTGGGGACCACAGCTCTTGGACCTTCGAGGCCATGCCCGCGGGGTTTGGGGGGTTTGGGGGTTAGGGGTTTGGGGTTCCTTTCAAGGGTTTAGGGTTTAGGGTTTAAGGTTTAGGGTTTGGGGGTTTGGGGGTTCAGGGGTTGGGGGTTTA